AAGCCACCGTTGTCTATTAAATCCCCTAAATTGAATTTAAAAAGAGTCTCAGATTACGTTAGAAAGTCTGCAGATGTCCTTGCAATGGACCAGGGACCAGTGACCCATAGCCTAATTAAAATTCAAGCTGAAAAAAAGTTGTACTTTGATCAAATCAAACTTTAATTAGCTCAGATAACCCCAAGCTACCTCCAAAACATTACCAACTGGAGGAATCGAGGACATTCTTTTGGAAAATTCATCATCCACGGGAGATGCGCTAGAGTATGCACAAAGGAGAACGTTTCGGCACAATTAGAATCAGCTTTAGAAACAAGCATCAATAACGGCCATTTTCCACACAAATCAGCATAAGGTGATTGACCTTTGGTACATTATCATTGTCCGCCCCTTTTGCACAGACCAATGTCAAAGGTCCTGCTAGCCAGAGGTATTGGCAAAATCAAATTCCCCCAACCTTCTGGATCACTCGAGTCGGTGCTAAATAATTGATGTGACCATTGAGACCGGTGGCAGTGGCGGTTGCAGTGATTTGATTTCAGAGCCAGTCTGAATGGGTTCAAGATCTTTACAGACACCCCATTGAGGGCCAGTGAGAAATGTCAATCGCACCTCATCTATGGACGGGGGCTTCTCTGCTACACAGAGAGAGCGGCAATCTCCAGGCAATCTGCAGCAAGTTCACCATCCACATTTAATGAGATACACACACACACACACACACACACACAGCTGAAGTGGTAGAACAAAGAGACATTCAGTTGTAGCTCTGACAAGTGTCAACTTCACTGCAACAGTGGCACGTAAGAGGATTTCCTTGATAATATGAAAGAAAAGAGAGTAAATGACAAAACGGGGATATTATCATCTAATTGACTGCTATGTTTGCGTTACATATTTGCATGTTTGTGAAGACAAAGTCTATGCAAATTGTTATGGTGGTTACTGATTTGATTTGTAGCCACAGGAATCTAGCCAAAACAACTATTGCAGCTTTTGTCAGTTCATTACTAAAAGTGTGTGCACTATGTGCTGAAAGAGGTCTTTCTTGTTATGTTATGTTATGTTATGTTATGTTATGTTATGTTATGTTATTTTCTATATCAGTGCGCACCATTTCTGAACTCCCTGAAACGCCTCGATTGAAGTCTTAAGTTTTCTTCCAGGAACGAACATGTCACAATATTCCTCATTTAAATAATTCCCAGCCAAGGGATAGGCAAAAAAAAAAAAAAAAGGGGGCGAGGCTTGGTTGAGTCAGTTAGTAGTGTGTTGAAACTTGCGGTTATGGTAAGGGGCGTGACATTTCCCAAACACGCTCGAAGTGGTTAACCAATCACAACACACTGGTCCAGCCAACCAATCAGAGCAGATTACACTTTTCGTAAGGAGGGGCTTCATAGAGACAGGAACTAAACAGAGCGTTACTGATAGACTGGTAAGAGAAGTGCTGAAAAAATGTAAAATAAGTGAAAAATGTTTTTTTCATATTCAAGCATTAAAACCTATTCTAGTAGACCCCAAAAACAAAACTTTGAAAAGTTTCATATATTAAATAAATTAGCTGTGCATTTAATCATAATGAGCAAAGAGCAAAAACTGTCCGGGTTAAATGTTTTTTCATCTGTTGTGTTGCAAAAGGCCCAATTTATTTTGTATCCCATCACATATGTTGAGAATATCATACAAATTTATAAATCTAATGAAATGGAACAGACATGTTGTCTTGCAGATTTATTTCATGTTACTTTATGAAACTTCCATATGTTTTGCTGTGCATCTGACAAACTAGAATTGTCACGCTTGCACGGTTCATTTTTCGGTCGGCGTGATGAGTAACGCCACCCTTGTAATTCTTTTCAGGTATTCAGTCAAATTCTGCACCAGCAGACAAGCCGTTCACAAACACCTGGGATTTGAGCATTCTGACTGGCGGAGGCTAACTTAATCATCTATAATTGGTGGAGTGGTTCTCATTTATAGTGACTGACAGCATTGATCTGTCTCAAAGGTAATACATCAGGCCTAATAAAAAAAGGAAAAGAAACAACAAGTCACATTCCAAATGAGCAGAAAAACGGCAACATGACACAATGTAAAAATGAGACCCGCATCATATCTTATTGAGGAGTGAGTCTAATCCCCAGAAAGAGAGAGGCTAGATATCGATGTGCATGATATTAAATTTAAAAATCTTGGGACCTTAAATAATTTAAGCGTGAAAGATCACAGAGTATTTGATCTAGTCTCTGTATCAAAACTACATTACACAGGGCAAAAACTGTGACAGAGCCTCAAAAAGAGAACTTTACACTGTCTCACAGCAGAAATGTCACAACATGAGGGTTTTCGAGATGCTAGAGGGGTGCTACTGGTGCATGGATTCACTCTCTAAAGATTTCAGTGAGGCATGTGCTTAGACTGCTCGCACACATGGCAGAATACACACGGATAGGTTTTTGCATGTAGCTCTGAGAGAAAATTAACCATTTGTTATGATCACATTGTGAGAAAGCTATAGCAAGAAAATCTGCATCTATTGTCAAAGCTGCGGCCTTGAGGTTTGCATGCATTACAGTTGTGCTGTACACAAACGATACGTTTCATTAGTAACCCGAGGCAGTTTATTTGTTGCCTGAGGTATCGATACCGAGGTAACAGAGCTTGTATCACATGTTGTTTGTCAGTGACTTGAGCTTGAATTCACTTGCAACATTTCCTGTCCTCTCTCAAGCATAGTGTAAATAAAGAGTAGTGCAAAGGCAAGTATAACATTTGTTTTTGTCTTTGTCGAGAAAAAAAAAAAACTCTTAGAGGAGATCAAAGGCGTCAAAATGCTGCAACTCAACCAACTGTACATCTGGTTCATTTGACAATAATAAAAAATTCAACCTCACAGCCAACAGCAGAAATTCGATTTGAAACAGCCTGTGATACTCAGCTAGGCTTCAGTGTGCTTTTCACACACGAAAAGCTTGGATGCATTTTGTCTGATTCCACAGTGCTCAGAAAAGCTCTAGGCAAAATACATGACCAGAGTAGATTACTAGTTTGTTTCACGATTAAACCTCTGCGATGCTATCTCCGAGCCTTGGGGATCTTTTAGCGAAGGACTGCCTCCGGAAACAATGTTTTGCCTGTACAGATTAACCAGAGGAACATCTCTCGTCCAAATTCTCCTTGAAAGCCTTGTGACTCTCGAGGAGATAATTCCACCTTTCCAGTCCTCTTCCTCCCTCTGTGTCATCGGGCCTGAGCTTTGGACCAGAGTGTGTCCCTTCCCCTTCAATAAACTACGTTTCAATGGCCATCCAAGTCATGCGCAAGAGCAATGAATAACAAATTTGTTGAGGAGTAAGTAATGTTAGGTTTGCTGACATTGGCAAGCCTTGCCACACTCTCAGACTGCAGAAAAAAGCAAAAGATAAATTAAAAGCCTCGCACATATATCTTTGTTTTTTTTTATTGTATGCATTGAATCAATAGCGCTATTTGAAGGTTTATTATGATACAAGACACTTTCCTTTTTCTAAGGAATAACAGCAGTCTGCTTGAGGTTAGATAGTCTTATCCTTACTCAGCACTTCCAGTCAAACTTTCTTTTGTTGGGTTCTGTGATGTTAGGCGTAAAATCTTCTCGAACAGCTCAATTTCTGTTTAGCAAAGAGGTAATACTTTACAACGAGGCTCTCTGTGCTAAAATTAGTTAATGCAATGGCATTTATTTGACTGAATTAGTGTTAATTTCTACATATACTAATGCACGTTTAAAACTCCAGATATTAGATATTACGAACATGAATGAACAAAGAATAATATTATACTTATAAATTAACATTAACCTAGATTAATTATTGCTGTACATCTGGTTCATTTGGCAATAATACAAAATTCAACCTCACAGAAAACAGCAGATATTCGATTTGAAACAGCCGTGATGAATTTTTGTTTTGATTCCACAGTGCTCAGGAAAATGTTGCTCATTATTAGTCCATGATACCTAATGCATTAGCTAATGTTAACCAATTGAACCTTTGTGTAAAGCTGTCTTCGCATTCATTACACGTTACTGTTGACATAGATAAATGAGTCCATGATTTTATAATGTTGCAAAGACAACTATATGAAACACCCTGCATAAAGAATTTCACCTCAATTCTTCATGCATATTTACACCAATCAGTCACAGTGTTTCCTTTGCTTTCAGCCTGTCACTGAATTGGCATTAATTCACCACCTCGTGTGTTTATCACCTGCAGGCCTTGTCTAAAAAGTGCTGTCCTAAATTGCCAGTTAGCAGATAAAGGTATTTTGTCATGGGGCAGGATTTGTAATTTCAAGGTATACTAAATTATAAAAATATTAAAGTATGTGAACATTTCAAACAGAAAAAAAAAAACCCAGCATGTGTATAAATGTGAACGCCTCAAGCTTTGCTCTGTAATAGAATATTGGACTTTTCCTATAAGTTGAAGGATATAATTCAAATGAGCTGAAGCATTTTAAGGTCAAAGGAATATTAAATTCATGCAGCACTGACATCAATTTTCTGACAAGAAAAAATAAACTATAGCGCTTTCTAACTGCACATACTCAAATGCAAAGCAACACTCACACAGGCCAGAAGGAAAGGTGTGACTGTCCATGTCAACTAACATAAAAAGATGAATGGCTTTTATATGAAATTAGGTTTAGCCTCTTTAAGCACCTTTTCATCCGTGTTCAATGTTTCCACATAGACACAGCACAACTTTTACAGCCCCAGTCCAAAGATGTGTCAATCTCACAGAGCTCAACTCTCAAAACTCTGACAATCACACGTGAATCCTGCTCTCTCCTTCTCATTCCATCTCCATTTTTGCCTTTCTTTCCTCTCATGCATCACACATTCGACTGTCCCCCTCCAAAACAGATAAGTGCAGAACGCGGAAAAAGCAAACCACGACCACGGAAATTCTCTACACGGTGTCGATCAGTAAAATTAGCATGACAATACTCACTGTGGGGAGAAGGGGGCAGTCGGAGCGTGGCGAGTCACTCTGTCCGATGAACCTGCACGGGTGGAAGAGCGGGAGAGAGAGAGAAAGAGAGAACAGTCAGCTGTGAAAGCACAGTTAAGAGAAAGGGAGGGGTGACGAAGAGCCGGCACATACAGAAAAACACAAAAAGAATCTGAAACACAGAGGAGAACGAGGATGAAGCCGAACGGTAGGAGAGAAATGGGGAGGCAGCAGAGGGAGGGGAACATGTGATGAGAATAAAAGACACGTGGGAAGATGCTGTACTTTTAAAAGTTCGACAAACGAACAGGGGAGTTTTCTTACTGTTATTCAGTCATGTGACACCACTGGGTGAACTAGATACCTTATTTAACCTTGCAGTTTAAGCATAGTTGTTTACAGTAGCAATAGAACCAGGCAAATATGAGCTTCATTGTGATTTGCATGGCAATACAACATGTTTTTGCAGTTTTAATGATTTTCGGGAATGCATTAATGAAATCATTTACCCAGAAATTTCAATTGCAGCAGTGTTACTCACCCTCATGTGATTTGAAATACGTACTGTATGCTGTTATACTTTTTGTGAAATACAAGAAATATCTTTTAAAGAATCCTCTCATAGATATTTTCCATTCAACGACATGAAAATGGCAAAAAAGTGCACCATAAAAGTCATCCATATGATTTGTGTACTATATTACAAGTCTTCTGAAGCTGTACAATAGCTTAGTGTGACGAACAGGCCAAAATTGAAGTCAATATTAACTTAATCAGACTTTTCAGTCCTCAAATCAAATATGGCATCTATGGTGAAGGTTGAACGTCATATGAACCACTTTCATGGTGCTTTTATAGTCCGTTTTGTATGTTCCATGGAAAAAAAATAACAGTATAGTTAGTTTCGGAACAACATGAGGTTGAGTAAATGACAGAATTTTCATTTTTTGGGTAAAATATTCGCTTGAGGTTTTTCTTTTCACAGGCTAGTGTTTGTCTCGAATATGTAAGTATGTGTTTCGACAGTTCTATCAGATCACTTTATCTCTGAACTGCCATTGATAGAGAACTGATGATCAACAATACAACACTGCACTGTGAAGCAACTCTCTTTTTTTGGTATCTCTGTTGCTGCCCAACGTCTCATTCTCTCTTTCTTTCCATTCTACTCTCTCAGGGGTGTTTTATCTGCAGAGACAGTGTCACCGGGAAAAACAAAAAACAAGATTCAGATTAGCAATAATCAACTATATAAATATAAAAAGGATGAATATTACAAAATATGAGATTAAATATTGAATTAGCCACCTACTTTCTAAAGTAACCGTGTCTAAAAGGTATATGATCACATTTTCCCATTGTTCTGAGAGTATTTGTGGGCAAAATTCAGTAATTTCAATAGGAATTCACACGATCTGGAATTTCTTGTGAGAGGCGAAAGATTACCACATTGACCAACAGAAAGCTAAATTCACAACCGCACCTTAGCAATGACACCAGTGAATAAAGTTTCAGATGAAGGTGTATATCTCCCATTGTGTTCTCAGTGAAATACTGAAGAAATAGTCACGTGTGAGAAGCCATGTCACGGTCACTGACAAACCTGCCTATCATGTCCGCAAGCAGTCCACAGATCAGCATAACATGGAATGAACTGGTTAATATGACTACCGGTAATTACAAAGTTAACAACGTCACAACTTTGTCACAACCAGCTCAAAACGAACTTAAAATAATGACCTGTGAGTAAGCTGATTTTAAGATTGTTAATTTAAAAATACATCTCACTGTAATGTTTACAGAGTATTTGATGACAAATGATTTGAACGGACGATGCAAATAATAAGTCCAAAAACAGTTAGTGGTGACAAACAAAAAAGATGCTTTTTTACTGTATATTATAATTAACATTAAAAATGCATAAAAGCATGTTAACATAAACACACTAAAACCTAATATTTGTTGTCAATTGGTAAATGCTGATCCGTATGCCTTAAACCATAAAATCTGTGTAAAGATCAAAGGGAACTGGAACATGAATTTACATCCGACTAAAAAAAACCAAACGCAGAGGGACTTTGCCTCCTCATTTCAGGAGTCCACAATGCAACACTGTTCTTTCTGCTTCTCAGATGTGTGTGTCTCTCTCTCTCCTTCTCTCCTCGAGTGACAAAAGCAAGACCCCATTCCTAATCTGACCCCAAAACAGCAACGAAATCCCCCAGGCCTTATCATCCTCTGCCTGGGCTCTGTTCTCGCTCTTCTTTCATATCCCCTGCCTCTCTTTCTTTCTTTCATTCTCTCCCTCTCTCCGTCACTCTCCATTGCATCCTCTCTCCCCAGTATAACCTCTTCCTCTGTCTGCTTCTCTCTGTAAACGGCTTTCAGCCGAGCAGAGATTACCTAGACCATGCTCTTCAGAGCAGCTTCAAAAAGGGTGCTCTGGGCTGCCAGGCTGGATAACACCCCCCTCCTCCTTCCACCCGGGTGGAGAGAGGGGAAAGTCACAGGGAGATTGGCTTGAAAATGTTTGCAGAAGAAAAAAAAGAAAAAGAAAACGAAAAAAAAAACAGCGGATGCAGAGGATGTCACACACTTGCTACGCTCAGTCGCTCACACACACAACGTTTTGGAGTGACGAACATATTTACGTGCGACACTCCTGAATCGTTCTGTTCACACAACAGCTAAAAGCTGCTTGAAAACGGTGTAAGTGAATGCATAGTTTAAATTTTAAATAAAATCCACAGCAGCTTTGGCGCGTAAGCTCTGTTGTTATGCAGTGTCATCATTGTTCAGCGTTCTCATTGGTTTGCTTGCATACGGGGATTTCATGCACAGGAAGCTGTCTGAGAATCGCTCATACTAAATCATCCATTTGCATTATTCCAACGTATATATATATGTTTGCCGCATCAGAGGGATTCCTAAGTGCTGCTATTTAAAGCACGTTGAACTTTGCCGGCTTGCCAGTCTTACTTAGTTTTGACATGCACATGCTGAGGTGATGATTTGCTATTAGAAACAATTCCAAAACACTTTGACCCGCATTGCAGTTTGACACCTCGGTGCATTAACATGATGCATGCTAGATTTATTTGCTGTGAAATGCATCATATGGGATTCATGAAGAATGCACAAATTGTGAAAATGCTTTGATAATTGCACATATGCAATTGAGTGGGGGGGGGGGGGGATTTCCATAACATGATTATTATTATTAAATACTATTGCTTTTAAAATATTTGAGTACTAGTAGACTGTAGTAGACTCTTAGTAAACTGTTAGGTTAGGGGTAGGTGTTAAGTTGACATGCAGATGCAAATAATACTTCATAAGTCAGTATGACGTCTGTTGGAGGATCAGCAAAATAAAGTGTTACTAGATATCAAGCAGACAGTCTACTAAGACTCTAACGACTGGTAGTTCACATGAATTTGACAATGTCTAAAGTGGACTAATAGAATTTTCTTGTAAAACAAGACTGTAAGTACCATGAATGTATATGCAGAGCTTGACATTAACACCCGCCAACCAGCCAAATGTGGATGGATTTCAGCTGTGGTGTGTAACGCAGTCCCTCCTACTAGCCACTTTGGTGGGTTGAATTTTGTAATATCAATTTTCCAATTGTAGTCTTAAAAAGGCATCTGAAATAATAAACTAGGTGCAATCTAGTGTTGTCAAACATAGATTTTTCGATACATAGCGAAACTAAAATATCTGAAGCTCTTCCGTAGGATAGCCTGCCCTTCACAACACCAGCTGCACGTTCTCGCTCTCTAATCTCTCCGACAGCGAATGACACACAAACTCACGTCCTTTTACTCACTTGTTTCATTTGCACCTGATGGATATTGTTGGTGTTACAGGGCTTGAATTTCAAGGGATTGGGCATAATTTTACTCATTCCCGCAGATTTTGTGCTCACACCCCAAGTACGTGCACATAAAGACAAGTATATTGGGTCCGTGCGTCATGTCTTAAAGTGACAGCAGCCTAATATACTGGCTATCAAATTATAAGATAATATAAAAAATATCTATATGGCAGTTTTTTCCCTATGGTATCAATGTCAAAATTGTGAGATGGTCATCACTGCAGAACACGAAATCCAGGGGGAGGAACTGGATCCAGATCCAACTCCTCCCACCTTACGTATACCTAAACCTACCCATCTCCGCCCCCTGATCCCTAACCCCACCCCTAATCCTACCCAACTCCACCCCTTAGATCTGGATCCAACTCCGCCCCCTGGATCTCATGTACTGCAATGAGGTGCTACTGAAAATTGTGGCCAGTGTAAATGCTGAGTGGCTAGTGACTTTGAAAACCACTAGCCACAGTGGCTGGTGAGCAAAAAGGTTAATGTCAAGCCCTGTATATATGTAAACCCAATGTAAACCTCACAGGACCACCACGTACATTTTTATCAGAATATTAATGAAACACACCAAATCAACACGTTGAATTGACCTGCCCCCAGAATAAAATGCTTCATTTCTGCAGTACACTTTTTGGAGGCCCAAACCACAGTTCAGAAAGTCTAATCCCTTTATATTCTTTGATGTGAAATCTTTGATGTGCATCCCTCCCTATGTAAACCCAATGCCTATTTCTCTGTCACCATGTCCAGCCTGTCTCTGTGTTATGTGAGACACACTCTCTGCCCTCTTGCTCCCCGAGAATGTCCAATTAGAGGAAGGTCGGATCCGGTAGCCATGTGTGAGGCAGCCACTTATTCTGTTACCGTTGGCCGATCCGTCACGCTCCTCTCCAGCTTTCTTTATTTTATTCTTCCTCCCAAAGGGCAGTGGCTAACTCTATCACCGGGACAAATGACCCATCAGTGGCAGCATTCATCAGCTTCCTTAGAATCACTCGCTACGGCCGCAGTCCCACCCTTCCACCCCCACTAAAACCGCCGCTCCCACCGAATCTTACGTTGTGTGTGTGTGTTCGCACGTTCGTGGGTGTGAAATCAAAAATCAAAGAATGCGCCTTTGTGCGTGCAGCGCTCGGCTAAACTGCATTATAAATCTCCCCCACATGTGCAAAATAAACACACACGCCATCCAAAATAGAACCACCTCCTTTACCAAACATATATACATAAGCTTTTGTCAAAGCCCTTTGTCTGGTTTTATTTGCTTGTCAGTGTTGTTTTCTTGTTTTATCTCCCTCGGCAGCTATTCTGACGCCCACACCGTCCCAACACCTCCACCCGGGGTGGGAATCTTTACATAAGTGATGAGGAGGAGAG